ATGAGTATTTTAATTGAATGGGCTTGTGCAAAGTTAACAAAGTTGTGTTCATAACGAAATGCTGTGAGCGCTATCATCGCAGGCACTTGTGGGGTCAAATGGGGTGCAATTCATCTGCTACCCTTGTTTTTTTTACACCCCTTTTGATGTCTGAAACCGTTTTAGGCTCAATCAACTGCAGATTCTACACTTCCCTCAGGAATTCTCTCATTGCAGGGTCTAACACCTCTAGCATTTTCAACGAAATACAGGGTTTCCAGGTCCAACCTCCTTGATTCCCCTCTCCGTTTCAGTTCTATCGTTTTTGTGTAAATTAAATTTTGTGTCCTATAAAAAAAGGATTGTTTCTCACTTCTGCTTTTCAATCTTCGCTTCGACAAAAATCATGGTTTCCACTCGTCGCAAGAAGGCTGCAATTTCTGCTGAGTTTATCGAAGACTCAGATGAGTCCGACGGGAATGAGACTTATCAGGAGGAAGAGTACGTTTCTTCACACTTTTCTTGTTTGCAGTCACTTACCCACTGAACTCTATTCAAGTTCATCGGATGAGTGTGGTGGAGAGGATGATGATGATGAGGAGGAGGAGGAGGAGAAGGCAGAGTCAGTCGCTCTTTTCTTCCAACATTTGCCTTATCTAACTTCGCTTTCTGTTTAGAATGAGTGAGCTGGAGATTGTAGAGGTGCCAACAACCCCACGTAAATGTGGGAGACCTCGCAAGGCCCCTGCCGCTATGCCTACCCCCGCAAAGTTTGTTATTTGCATCTATATTATCAAAAATCTAACTGTTGTGCACAGAGGGAAAAAGCGACCCATTGACGAGGTCGCGGCTTCTGATTCGGATGGACCTTTCAATGCAAGGTATGTTAGTATGACATTATCTCCTTATATTTATGGCTCACCTCAAAATCTCCAGTCCCATTCACGACAGTCCAAAGAAGCCCCGTGTAGCTCCCTCTGCGACTAAGAAGCCTCCCACCATGCCATTGAAAGCAACCCCAGCGAAGGCGGCAACTAAGGCAGCTTCTCCCACTAAGCTCAAGACCACTCCAGCGGTGAATAACAAGTCAACCTCTCCCAGCAAGGCGGCTTCAGCTAAGAAGAGTAAAGTGTATGTCAACCTTTGCCCGCTCGATCTCCTATATAGAATTGTTGATTGTATCATTACTCTAGCGCTGCCATCAACGAAGATGATGATGAACTAGAACAGGAATCCATGGACAGCGACGATCCAAGGTATTTTTCAATACTTATCACTCCCCCACCTATTCCTACTGGACTCCGGGACTCCAGTAGGATTCCTACTGGATTCCTACCGGATTTTGACAAAATTTCCAAAAAGGCATTTTCACATATTTCTCCATTCCCCCTCCTACTGGACTCCTACTGGACTCCAACTGAACTTAAACAAATTAGATGAAATGCTCCACACATTGAAGTCCTACTGGATTCCTACTGGATTCCCACTGGAATATCAACTTCAATGTATTACCAAGTCAGAACTTCAAATTTCTATTCAAAATTCACATTTAAACAAATGTTGTATTGTGAAATGACAACTAAATACAGAAAGATATTTTACTAATGTAATGAGGGAGGGGGAGGGAGTGATGGAGTGATGGAGGGAGTGGTGGAGGGAGAGAGCTATGGAAGGAGGGGAAGTGAGTGAAGTGAAATGATGGAGGGGGGAGGGGGTGAGAGAGGTGGAGAGAGGAAGAGAGGGAGGGAGGGAGGAAGGGAGGGAGGAAGAGAGGAAGGGAGGGAGGAAGAGAGGGAGGGAGGGAGGAAGAGAGGGAGGGAGGGAGGAAGAGAGGGAGGGAGGGAGGAAGAGAGGGAGGGAGAGAAGGATGGTGGGAGAGAGAGAGGGAGGGAGGGAGGGA